GGGGATTTATCACTGCTGTCTATGGGAATTTATTTGTAGTGGTGCACCCTGCAATGTCGAAGCCTGGCCAGGGGCCCTAACCAATAGCGCCTACTACTGACAGAATAACCACTCGTCATGGCAAGCGGTAGCAACTTGGCATTCCTGACCTTTAATGGCCTACCGCCATCTTTTGGCGTCTAATAGTTAGGCGAGCGTACAAGTCATGGAGGAAGCGAGTCCAACCCAACGATCTCAGCCTCAACACAGTTTTCTGCAACAAGTGCAAGTTTGGCGATTGGCATTTCCTCCTTGGCGGCAGTTGGCTCAACCTCCAGGCAATAAGCCTTTCGCGAGTTAAACTTGAATACAAAGTTCTTAAACTTTACGTGAACACAATTAGTTGAAATCTCCATACCAATGACAATGACGTGACTAAACGTAAACAATACCATAGCATCGTGACCACGGTGATGGCATATATTCCTACGGGCAGCTTGCTGCATGCCTTAATAGTTTATATTGGATACGTTACCATCACAAAACTATACGTTCGTTACCATCACAATACATCATGGGTCCAGCACGATCCTGACATTACAGGAAAAAGGTCAATACCTCATGATTCGGTAAAATGTTTGCTTGTGGTCACATAAGAGACGCTTTGCACCAATATACTGTTTTCCCATGGATAAGAGTGGCACAAAAGGCACCGGTCCATTCCGAGATGGTAGTCGCTATATGCAAAAGCTTACCCTGAATCACAAGGAATGCATCTTAAGTCTGGGGAATGTCACGATATCAGACCAACTTGCACTCCCGTGGGCCATGCGGCAACCCATGCAGTCTACAGCTGGGGGGAGGTTGTATGTATCCTCAGCAGGATTTGCAAAACATTTGTTCAGCGAATAGGATTTGTTGTTGGAACGCCATGAGGGAGTGAACTGATTCGTTTCTGTGTTCCTTTCATTTTTTGTTGGGACACACCTTGGAAGGACGCTAGAGTTATTTAAGTACATGCACATCATAACGATTGCAGTTGCACGTTTTCGGGGGAAGGTCTGGTTAGAATATTTGACCAGGTACATCAAAATCGAAGTCACAAACTGTTTTTTAAAGATAATAAACGGTCAAAAAGAGAATTTCATAAGCTATCAAATGGTACACGTTACAAATGTCTTGATGGTAATCTTTCATATATACATTTTCAAAATAAACGGAAACGGCCACATCGATTTTTTTTTATATTTACCTACATCCCAACTTTACTCGGCCATTTCTTAAAATGGCTTCAATGACTTATTCCTGTAGGATGTACCGGGTCACATATGGCAAGTAGTTTCGCATGCACTAATAACTCCATTCTAATAGATCGGGGGGGGGACTGATGAAGAACTTTAGGCACTCTTTCTCCCCCTTACTGGGGCATTAAAATCAGATTTCAGTTGTCAGAAAGGGAAGCAGTACTCTTACTTAAAAAAAACTTGCTCTTTTCGCAGCTACTCCATCTCCCAAGGCAGCGGCATGTGCTTTGCATTCAACTGGAGGCTATTTGCAAAGTACAGATGAGTCAAGCAGCCGGTGATGGTAACAAGTCCAATCCTTGCTCCCTGGAACTAAAGTAACTTTGCTGTCTTCCTCACTTCCGAATGAATGCACCTGGTCCTATTGTTCTTGCGGTCCTATTGTGGTCAATTTACCTCCATCAGGAACGCCAACTGAATACCTCCAACTTCCGCTGTCTGCGTTCAATTCTTGGGTATACTGGCAAGACTGAGTAACAAATCCTGTTATCCCTGAACTCACTGAAATCAGTGACGAATAACAATGTATTCGGCTCGTCGCCTAAGTTGGTCTCGTCACGTCTGCAGGCAGGAACTGCCGAGGAACATCTTCTTTGGAGAGTTGCCCGATGCCCCTCGTCCCCAGCAGACCCTCATGAAGGATTGTACCTGATGGCATTCTGCCATCCACCTTGGCCGCTCTATTTCATCTGCTGCATATGTAGCAAGTTGTGAGAACCGCCGTGCAGATAGAGCTGCATTGTCGTATTCGACAGGATAGGCCACGCGATTGCTCCAGCTAGACTCAAACGTAAATGCCACGGCTCCTTCAAACTAGGATACAGAGGGCTCCGTGCCAGTACAAGATGCCTCCGACCCAAAGTTCATCAATCAAAAATATTGCTTGCTGGTTAGGGAAATTGTTAGATGAGGGCTAACTAGGCCACATGACTGAGGTCATTTTCAGAGACTCCTATTCCATATCTTTGGAATTTTACTGATAGGGTTGGTACCAAAATAAGTACCAGGCATCTTGAGAGCTCAAGCCTGGTAATGATGGGATAGATCACTATTTATGCACATTTCACACAAACTTGATTACGCAGTCAGTTTTGGAATCAAGCAGAGAAAGGTCCATTTCTACTCTAAGCACGTAGAAAACCACCTTTCTGTCTCCCCAATTCACCCTGAGGTTTCTCGCCTTTAGGTTTTCGTTTGGATGATGGAAGACACAGCTTTATCCATGGGGGTCTCTTGTGCGCCAGCTCTTTTTGAAACTTTTCCACTTTATAGGAATGGGCAGTAAAAATTATTTTGGGTCTGACAGCATTTGCAACTATGCAGATGACTTTCTGTTTGTTTGGGGTTTAAGATTTAAGACAAAGAATTGTGACAAAGAATTCTTCATTGCTTCAGAGATGAACAGGACCTATATACATGCAGGTTATTCACCGACGTCAGGTTGTCACATGGCTGTCAACACGCCTGCTATATTGGCCGTCACGCCAACTCGTGTGACGTGCATGCGCTGCATAGTAACACGCAATTTGGATCAACATTCGAGAAGAAAATGACCAATCCCATGAAAGAAACTGTATTTTCCGACACTGCTTATAACGTGGATGGTATTCACGGGGCACGCACATTTCAAAGATTTGGCAATACTTTGAGATGAAAGTCAGTGGGAGGTCCGAAGTGCACCACTTTAGGGAACTGTACTAACGTTAGTATTACATGGCCTTACCGCCATGAAGTGAATAGATCCGCTGCAGATCGGCAGGAACCTGATAGAAATACAGATCTTCTAAAGTATCTTGATGATTATGGCACCCTACAGCACAGCAAACTTTCACTAAAACAAGCCGTGCTCGTACGTGTATTTGCATGCGTTACCATGCATGCGCTTGACGGCCAATATGGAAGCATAAGCGAAACCACGGATTGTATGACGTCATGTGAATTTCCCATATAAGGGTACCGTTAGCAGAAGACAGAACGGTCAAACTCACAGCACATTTGACATTTCTGGGTCTTTAAATAAGGTGAGTGACCCAGATGGAGTAAATTCGGATGGGATAACTTTAATGTTACATCTCCGAAAACGACAAGTTAGCCCACTATCAAGGCCAAAAAGGTCCCACTGAAATCACCCAATTCCCCCATGGCTCACTTTCATCCATCTGTCGGGCCATAGCTCGAGGTCGGGCATTACTTTTTCAGCTGAAAAAATTACTAAGATGGGTCAAAAGGTGGAGGCATATGATTCAGCTCTGAAAGGAAGCAAAGGTAGACTTAATTTGGTGGCAGGTCTTCCCCCCAGGGCTTCAATGGGAGATCTATAATTCAAGTTAAAACTGTATACAATTCACCGATATGCATGTTTTACAGGTACCAGAGGTGGCTTTAGGATTGGGGATCAATGGTTTCGAGACATTTAGCCTCAATCTGTCCACGCTGGAACACCTTTCATTGGCTGATGGGTTTTCCAGTAGCCGAGTTCGTCGTTCGAGCGATTTATTGGATCTGATAATTACGCAGTGAGTTGTTGCCATAATAAACAATCAGACATCCAAATGCCCTCAAATCATGAAATTAGCCCGCTAAGTTGTTCTCTCGTGACCTTGGCAACAACTTCATTATTAATTCCAAGCATATTCCAGGTGTTATAAATAATACTGTGGATGCACTCTCCCGCTTGCGGATGACATGGTTCAGACAGCTTGTTCATTCATCTGCCCTTTTGGGCCGCCATGGAAGTCTGATAGGGCTTAATCGATGGATGTCAGCTGACCTATTTTGTTTATCAACAAATTTAGAGTTTTAAAGGGTTTACCCAGAATTTATAGTACCTGGAATCAACACTTACAGCGTTATTCAAAAGAGTAATTCATGCTTGTTTGAAGTACCTTTGTTCACTTCCCCAAGTACAATAACAGAAATCTATTTATTGATAAAAGTCACGTGGTTTGAAGTTTTTTGCCATCCGCTATCTAATCCGAATCTAAACGCCTACTTGATGCACTGTAGACTAACATCAGAATGTATTGTATGATCTGATGTTAACTCACTCAGCAAGTAATCCTGTCAACTAATGACTCCATTAGCCAAGCCCACCCCCAGATATGGACTGAACTCCCTAAATACTTGCCATGATCCATTGAGTTAACAAGTGTGATTTTCCTCAAGCAATAAACACCACCGAGGTCCACTTTCCACCAGGGGTTCGTTTTTTCCTGGTCATTGTCGAAACCTGTTTAATGAATGGAATCATGTCAGAGATAAGGATGAACTCAAGAAGATACACCAATGCTCTGTCAACGGTTCAGTAACAGCATTATATTCAGTGTTCTTGATTGTTCTATAGTGCAAAAAATAGTTTACGTACTAATCAAATTGGTAATCGCAATTAAGGGATTTTTCTGAAATATTATGTTCAATAATAATTGGAAATATTGGTTTTCATTTAAGCCTTCCAACAACAGACTCCCAACCACAAAGGCAAATTGTCATTTACTAGCTCAACGGGAATTGGTGTCGACTGCATAAGAATTTCATATGTGCTTCAAAAATTGTAAAACTCTTTCGGAATATTAGTGTTTGCTTTGTGCAATGTATAGCTCACTCCCCATTTTTTGATCGGGTGGGCTACTGAATCATTCCCCACATTTTTGTGATGAGCAAAAAAAAATTAATAATGTAGCAGACGTTGTGTTTGACATAAGTTTAACCATTAATTTTGATTACATGTGTTAAACATACGTGAACCAGTTGTCCTTTTATTTATTTTTATAAATATTTATAAACATTATTTT